TGATTTAAAGGAACCCAAGGATTCAGCTTGCACTACGTTATCAGGAAGACTATTCCATACTCTGACTACACGCTGTGTAAAGAAGTGCTTCCTTAGAGGAATAGTAGCACACCTGCCAGTCAGCTTTTAAAAAAAATAGTACTAATTTGACAAAAACACATGAATAATAATAATAATAATAATAATAATAATAAGAAGAAGAAGAAGAAGAGATAAAACTTTTTATTTTTATACCTTTGATAGTCAGTTTTCCTGTGGTTCTCTTGTCTTCTGCTTCAAATGTGTATTTGGCTTCATCCTCATATCCAGCACATTTAATTAGACAGATGTGCCTTCTTCCTTCTTGAATAATCTCTAACTTCTCATCGGATGTAATCTCCATGGATCCTTTCAGCCACCGAAAGCTCTTGATTTCCCGAGACACTTCACAGTCAAACATTGCCTCATCCTTCTCAAATATTTGAACATCACTAAGTGGGGTGATGAAGGTGAGTGGTAAATCTGTAATTCACAAAACAGAATCTCAGATCACTCCTCTGATCAGCATGTGGCAGTAGTTCTAAATACTGATACTACCAAAAAGGCACATAAATTACAGAGGCCGGTACCTTTCACTTTCAGACCAGCTGTACATTTGGCATTTAAGGCCTGGAATGTTACTTCTCCTGACTGTGGAACCTTGCAATTGTACATTGTCAGAATATGCTTGGGCCCATCCTGAATAATTTCAATGTCCTATAAATCATAACAAAAACAAGTAAAAGAACGGAATAAAAAATCAATTTTTGTAATATATCAAGACTATTATCACTATTATCTTATTAGTGAAATACAGAATTAAACTGCAAAGAACACTGGGGATTTTAATATCCATACAGGGCATGGCTGCAAGATTTCGCCATTTAGTATCCATTGGCCAGGAACATCATCTTCAGAGATTTCCACCTCGAAATGAGCTGTCTCTCCATCAAACAGCTCCACACCATACAAGGGACGGACTACCTTAACTTCACGAGCTATAAAAAAAAAAAAAAAAAAAAAAACATTTATGAACTTGTTAGTTTAAAAAAACATTACAAGCAGCAAAAAAACCAAGCCTACTGTGAGCGTACCTTCAACAGTAATATTTGCCATTGTCTTATCAGTCCCACAATCACACATATAAGTTCCCTCATCTTTGTTTTCCACTCTTTTGATTGACAGGCTTCTCTTTATTCCATCAGCCTGTATTGTGACCACTTTAGAGGCAATGATTTCAGTATCATTGTGGTACCATTTCACAGGTACATCTTTACTCAATTCACAATATAAGGTTACATCATCTTTCTCAACTGCAGTATAATCTTGTAATTTAACTGTGAAGTATGGATCAGCCTCTGTAGCAGGAAATACACAGGTTACAGATTAACAAAAAAACAATAAAAAAAATGCCAGCTTTTGAAAACAAATGTAATGTATTGGAATGTATATTTTTTACGATGTACCACTGCACATAAATTAAACAAAGCATTTCCTAAAATGTGACTGCCCTGCATTGCATTTATAAAGTTTATATATAAAGTTCTCAGCAGAAAAATAAATCATGTTTACCTATAACCAAAAGATTAGCCGTTGTGGATACTCCTTTAGCCTCTGCTTTGATTTGGCAGGTGTCATCTAGAGTGACCTCTTTGATTTCTAA